AAAACATGGAAATAAATCTAAGAATTGTAGAATTAATTAAATGAGTCATAACATTGGATATATTCATTTACAATAAGAAATTTATTTGATTATATATTTGTATGGTTGGAGTCTCGCGAATCGGAATTCGCGACAGATTACGCAAAATTATGCGATGACAGCATTGAAGAATGATGGATCTTTACTTGTAATTTGCGAAATCGAATATTCGTCGCCTAAACCAAAAATTAGCGTTGAACAAGAAGTGAAAGCAGAACCTTTGGATGAAAAGAATGAGGTTTCGATACGATATTCTCTTAAAAATATGTTGGAAAGTGAACTGCTTGCATTATTGTACTATAAAGGTATGTCTGCATCATTTCACAATTGAAATAATTAATTTTGTATTAATTATTCAGATGGCAGAATTTCTATGACATGTTTAGTTGTTTTACACATTGTGATATTATCATTTATTACGTTATACAGGTTGATGATAAGACGCTTAAAGCTCACAGATGTATTTTGGGCCAAGATAGTGAAGTGTTCCGTTCAATGTTTGCCAAAAAATCAATGTTGGAGGCTCAGGAAAGGATTATTGCTATTAAGGATTCAAAGTTTGAACCTGTAAGTAACAATAATTTATCTTCACGAAATTCATCGTGTTTAAGGTAGCCATTGAATTAAATATCGAATTTTAAGGTGCGTGCAATGATAGACTACATGTATACGGATTCGACATATCTTGTGGAAGATTATGCAAAAGATATTTTGGTCATAGCTGATAAATATGCCGTTTTGCCTCTGAAGGAGCTATGCGAACGATATCTCTCAACTGATATTAACCGTGGAAATGTTATCTGTACCACAATGTTTGCTGATACTTATTCGGGCTTCGATACTTAAACAAGTTAGTACTAATATTTGAAATTATTTTTAAGCTGCAGTGACTTTTGTTCTATCTTTTAATTGCTATGCGGCTAAAGAATTTTCGTTTATCACCTTATCAGTAACATCTAAATGCAGTCAAAACTTACCATCAACTGTTTCATATTAAGTTATTATTTGTAGTTATTTCTACTTTAAAATGAAGAACACAGCTTCTTCTAGTTTTGTAAACGTTTTTAAGATTAAACAAACTGTTATTTCTATACAGGCATGCGCAAAAGTGTATCACAGAGATGTTCTAAGCTCCGCAAATAGGAAAGTAATGAAGGAAGAAAGACTGAAGTTGATAAGCGATCTTTTGAAATCAATATTTTTCGGTGGTGTTCTTTCAGATCTCAATGGTTTGAATTTTAGCCCTAGCGACAAAACTGATCCGACATACTGGTTGAAGGAAAGATTTGGATGGCTTCGTTTAAATGAACAAACTACAGATAATGAAGATGAGTAAGTCACATGAATTTAGAAAGTGAGAAATCCATCATTAATGAACTTTGCATTCATTTTTTTAATTCATTAAATTGTCGAATTTCACTTAACAGTGTAATACATTAAAAGATATGCATCTTGAATTGACTGAGAAAAGTGTTGAAATTATTGTCACCTCTTGCTCTTGTCGATGACGATATTGTATTCAGTAAAATAATTCTGATAATCTTCATGAACTCATTTGATCATCTGATTTTTGAATATTAATTCTGCATTTCTATAATTAAATTCATATCCAAGAAAGTACTTTCATAGAATTTTTTGTTGACAGATAGATCACAAATCACTTTTCAACAAATTCACTGCAAATTACGTTTTGATAACTCTTAGGAATTTCAACAAAAATCTTTTAGATTTGATGAACAGAAAATTAGGTAATATTTTAAACTTGCAACAGTGTCAAGCCGGAAATTGTCCAGGAACCGTATTTAAGTCATCGCAAAGAAAAGGTCATGCAAAATTATTGCAGTTAAAAAATTCCTGATTAAATTAAAATTAAAAATTAAAAATCACTGTAACTTAAAAATAATTCCAAACATACAGCTCTAAGTTGTTTAAATATTAAAGCCAAATAAGTATTAGCAAATATCGCAGTAAAGACAAAATTTTTCCAGCTAATAAATAATTCAGTAAAGCGACAATTTTTGTATTATTTGTACAGCTCCTTTAGAGATAAAATGGACATATATCAGCAATGATTAAATCTTCTATGTTATCAGCTTACTTTTAAAATATTTCAGGTAAATTTTGTTTTGCGATCCTCTTTAAACCTAAGTGTATTTTTATTCGTTCTTAATACTTCACTTCCCAATTTATTAATCCCAATTTATTAATTCAATCAATTTAAACAATTCGCTAACTTTCGCTGCTTATTAGCATTCAGAGCTGATAACTGAAGGTGTTAACAGATAATTTGCATAAGTACAACAAAACTGTCAAACATTAACTCTCAATTGTATTGGCGGAATGTTATTGTTTGATATATTGCATTTTTTCTACCGAATTTGTTATGGCTACCAATCTGCCCATTGTTGTCATCAGCAATTGGTCAAGTGGATGCTTCTAGGTCGTTTGTTTGTGATATGTTTATATCCGGTATACTTTATTGATCTGTGATCTGGAATAAGGATCTCGAACACCTTATTGATCTGTGATCTGGCACAAGGCAATGAAGTAGGTGAAAGGTTATTACCTTTTGTTGAAGCATTTAGCCAATTATTTTTTGGGAATTGTTTCTTTTTTTTTAAAAAAAAAAGAAAATGATTGTTACATTGTCATACTTAATTTTGGGGACAGGTTTTTTTTCTTTTTTTTCAAAATTATAGCATTATTTTTAATTATAACAATAAAAAATTACGAATTTATAAGTAACAAATATCTAACCTATTCTTTACAGATTAATAAACAAAAGTGAGCTAATGATTATCAACCTTTGTGTGGGTTCATAATGGCTTACTTTTCAATATAACTTACATTTGTCATTTACTTCTTGACTTACTTTTCAATATAACTTACATTTGTCATTTACTTCTTGACTTACTTTTCAATATAACTTACATTTGTCATTTACTTCTTGACTTACTTTTCAATATAACTTACATTTGTCATTTACTTCTTGACTTACTTTTCAATAT